GGACCACAGATAAGGCTTGGTATGAATGTGAGTCAGATGTGGCTTTTCTTTCCTGCTGTATCAGTGGTTGGCCTCTCTCTGTGTCTCTCCTCTCTCCTTTCCCTCCTCCCTTCTTCCTTCGGCATTTAGCACATTCATAACGTTGTACAAGCACCATCTCAATCGAGGGCCCCAACATTTTCATTACTCCCAAAGGAAAACCTGTGCCCGTTAAGCAGTTACTTCTGCGCTCCTCGCAGCTCCTGGCAACCATCAATCTGTTTGATGTCTCTATGTATTAACTAATTGGAGATAGTTTATGTGAACAAAAACCATGCAATCCGTGACCTTTTGTGTCTGGTGTCTTTCACTCACCATACTGTTTTCCACATGTATCCAGGTTGTAGCTTGTATCACTTTTCATTCCATTTTTAAAGGTTATTTGCTTATATCTTTCATGAGAAAGAGATAGAGAGACAGATCCTACCTCCAGTAGGGTCTCCATGCCACAATCTACCCTCAGTGTCAGCCTGCCCCAATTGTGGGCACAGGCGTGCATGCCTGGTGTGCTCAAAGGGGTTCTGGGATGCCAGTCCAGGACCTTTCCCGTGTGAGTCTAGCTGTGCTACTGCCTGGCTTCAATACTTTACTTTTCTGATGGAATAATATTTGTATATACCACAGTGGGATCATCCAGTTATTCATTGATAGACATTGGAGTTCCATTTTCTTTTTAAAGAACGTAAGTCACGTGATGGAGGGCCTCTTCTCAAAGCACCCATGTAACCCAGAGTAGAGGAGAGTCCTACCAATGGCCTGAAAGGCTCTGCGTGAGCTCAGAGGAAGTTTGCGCTCTGATCTCCCCTTCCCCACCAGTTGCTCCGGTCCAGCAGACAGGCTACATAGGTATACTGAACCTGTGAGATCCACTCGTTCCCACCGAACCTGTGAGATCCACTCCTTCCCACCGAACCTGTGAGATCCACTCGTTCCCACCGAACCTGTGAGATCCACTCGTTCCCACTGAACCTGTGAGATCCACTCGTTCCCACTGAACCTGTGAGATCCACTCGTTCCCCAAGCATGTGGCATCCACTGTTTCTTTAACTGAAACAAGTATTTCCGTAACTTACTCCCTTACTTCATTCAGGCTATTTCTTAAATGTTATCTTTGCACTGAGGCCTTCTAGGATCATCCTTTATTAAAAATAAAGTATACTATATGTATTTGAGGTTTGCAGCATGATGTTATGAAGTACATAAAAGTAATAAGGAACAGATATGTAGTGCGGTCATCCTGTTTACAATCATCTCCATACCCATCTCAGCACCTATATCTCCCCTACTCTGTTCAAGTTTTTTTTCAAAGCACTTAGTGTTTTCTGTTTATAACTTACTTATAACTGATATCTGTTATTTATTTATTTATTTTTAAAATAGAGATTTCTGCTATAGGGTGTGTGCCCTCGCCAGAGAGACAGAAAGTGAGAAATCACCCCCGAGAAGAGATAGAGATGCCACAATCCCTTCTCTTCCATTCTCCTTTCGGGATCTTGGGCACACATGCACATGTGCCCAGTGTGAGTTTTAAGTTGCCAGGTCCAGGACTCAAACTGTGGTTGACCACATGGGACTTCAGTGATGTAACCATTATGCCATCTGTTGGTCCCAGCAATCTGTTATTTTTATTTAGTGTCTGTCTCTTCTCTCACCTCCACCATTAGCATGTTTTATGAAATCAGGAAGTTCATCTGTTTTGTTTATTGTGCATGCCAAGCCCTAGCACAGCCTGTAAGATAACAGGTACTTAATGAGTATTTGGTAAATAAACACATTAATGGTGAAGAGTGAAAACCTAAAGAGATCATTTATCTAGCAAAGGACCAGACACTTGGGCTGAGGCTCTTAGTGAATTTTCATGTGCTTTTCCCCTTCAAACTTCTTCATTTAACCCACTTCCAAAACCCCTGCCTTCCCACCCATTCTTTTACAATACTCTTTATTTCTTCCCTAACATCTTCACATCTATCTCTTTGATGATGGAAACATGAGATAAATAGGTTTTCTGGGTAGAATTATCAGTAGAGACCTACCTTTTCTGGAGAGACAAAACAATGATATTGTACTAAACATGTTTATAGTTCTTTAACTGTTTCTATTTATAGTTTCTGGCTTGATCCTGAAAAGCAATATATTGGATTTCAGTTTTTTTTTTTAAGGATGAGTGCTTAAAAATATTACTATGTACAGCTATATTGACTTCAGAACTTATGATCCTAAGGGATTATGCCCTGAGTTCATTTAGGCAAATTTAAGCAAATTTAGGCAAATTTAAGATACACATATTGGGAAGTGCATCGTTACTTTATTTACCACTAAGAAAGGAAAAAAGTGCTACTGATGAATCTTCTCTCAGCATTTAGCACTTGTTCATCGTTCTTCAAATACATGTGTAATTTTGGTCATGCTTCCAAAAACAAATACTGCTTCTGTAATACTAAATTTACGTCCTATAACTGTTGTGTGCTTTTCTTGCCCTGAGTTCATTTAGGCAAATTTAAGCAAATTTAGGCAAATTTAAGATACACATATTGGGAAGCGCATCGTTACTTTATTTACCACTAAGAAAGGAAAAAAAGTGCTACTGATGAATCTTCTCTCAGCATTTAGCACTTGTTCATCGTTCTTCAAATACATGTGTAATTTTGGTCATGCTTCCAAAAACAAATACTGCTTCTGTAATACTAAATTTACGTCCTGTAACTGTTGTGTGCTTTTCTGTAAACATATTAACTTTTGTTTTAATGCTGAGTCATAGGGTAATCATTCTGAAGATGTTTTAGATAGCAATTAAGTTGAACACATGTAGTAGCAACCAGGCACACAGTTCAACTGAAGTGATGACACCCTTGGTGGTTATGAACAAGTTTAAGATTGCACAGGAAGGGGCAGCTGCACATCGATGGGGTTGTAAAACCCTGTGGTGTATAAGACGTGTTGTGATTTTAGGGTATTAAAGTGTAAAAAGACATGTATGTCAGGGTCACCTAAATGGATTATCAATGAAGAAAACCCATCTGTTGTTGTTCTATCTCCCACAGAAGGAAAACAAACTGAAAGTCTCACTGAAGACTCAACGCAAGTTGTGTTCCTCTTGCATGGGCTGGTAAGTTTGTTTTGTTCACTAGATATGCTGGGTCATCAGAAAGGGCAGCTAGGATTCTTTTGAGTGAAAAAGCACTTAAATGTTAAGGGAAATATAGCTGCTGTACTAGCATTTCAGAGTTGGTCCAGTCAATTACGGTTTTGATCAGTTGTGTGAATCGTCTCCTGTATATCATCCAGGAGTAGCCTCCCTAAAATGTCCAGTTAATGGTTCTAGTCGGCCCTCTAGGTTTGTATGAGAGTAACTGAATTCTTCACGTCCGTACACTCTGAAATCTTGCCATATCCTTATTTGCCCTTCACTTTCTCACTTTCCTCCACCACCTCTCAGAGCTTTGGAAAACTTGTGATTAACGCTCTCCAGGGTGTTACACGTGCATTTATTATATAGAATTTGGTAAATAATAATTCAATAGCTGCTACTACCAGAGTATTTCTATAGCTGTCATTGTAGTAAGTATTCTGTTTATATTGCCATATTTTTCATTTTAGTTTTTTTTTTTTTGGCTATAGGGCATATGCACTCGCCAGAAAGAGAGAGAGAGAGGGAAAGTGAGAAGTCACACCCTAAGGGGGATAGCCCATTACAATCCCTTCTCCTCTGCCCTCCTCTCAGGACTTTTGACATGCAAGCCCAAGTGCCCAGTGTGATTTTCAAGTCACTGTGTCTGGGACTCGAACAGTGTAGTTGGCCACATGGAATCCAGTGCCTTAACCTCAGTGCCACCTTTTGGCTCTATATTACTGTATTTTTTTGTTCACAAAACCCCTCTATAGTCAGTATAATTATTGTACCATTTTAATGGTACAATAATGTTTCAACAAAACCCTGAAACTTAGAGAAGATTTGCAATCTTATTAAGGTTACACAGCTAATGAGTGCCGAATCATTTCAAAACCAAATCTTGTGGCAATTTTTATACGTTTATATTGGCAATTTTTATACGTTTCTGTATAAGAAATTTGTGAAAGTGATATAATAAACATACATCCAAATGAACAGATAATGAACTGTTAAATTAGTGTCTGAAGCTAATGGTTCTCCTGTTATTTAAGATGTTTCTGAACTCTCTTTTGGAATTGCCTTCAGGACTTGTTTTCAGTATCCTTAGTGGTGAGGATTATTCATCCTTTGAGATCATATTTGCCAGGTCATTAAGAGACCACAGTGAGGCAGGTCTGCTGGCTAGCATGGAGAATGACTATGATCAACTTTTAGACCAGGTCCAGTGCCAAACAAATCTTAAATATGCTCAGAGACTTACAATTTCTGAGCTGGAAAAATTCTTGCTGCCAGTTGTAGAATGATGACTTCTAAGGAAAAAGGGGCAGCGAGGTGAAGGATTGGCAAGGGATAAGCACAAAATCCATTTGGGGTCATGAGCAGATCTTATAGGAATATGCATTCTATCTGGTTAAAATTTTCAGACATTTTGGTTAGAAAAGGAGATTTTCTTTTTCATCTAAGGGTTTAAAAAGTGATAGATGGTCTTCTAAAAAGCCAGCTTTTTTTTTTTTTAACAGACATAGCATTTATTTTAAAATAATGAAATCTGTTATGATGTACAACTGCAAGTTCTGAAATTTTGTGGCAATGGGGCCCTCATCTTACCAGTAAACTCGAGCTTTGTCACAACATCACAGATGGTGTGGTCAATGTTTTTGATTATGAAGCAAGTTCTAAAAAAATAGAACAACTAAAGTTCCTCTGTATCAACTGTAAGTTATCTTTCACAGCATCTCATTGGAGAGGCAACTTGGAGGATTAAAATAAGTAGGTTATTCTCTTATCTAACCTTCAAGAGTAACTCTTTGGCTACTGTGAGTTATACAAGCTCAGAGTGGGGTGGAGGGAAATGTGGGTGAATCACATTTTGAAGTCTGGGTTGCTGCTTGTCACTCTGTCTCTTGCTATGGCTAAGCACAATCAATCTTCCTTCACCAAAAGTTGTTACCCCAGGGGAATACTGTCCCAAGCTGTTGACGGTCTCTATATCAAGGCAGCATGTCTCAAAGCAACAATTCCAGTAAGTATCAGGCTTTGCACAGATGGGTGACCTAAAGACATTGGTAATCTTGGATACAACTAATTTCTCTGTTTTATTGTAGGAAGATCGCATAAAAAAGATACGATTATTAAAAAAGAAAATGAAAAAGCAATTTATGGTAAGCCAGAAGGTCTTTCCTTTTCTGCTTGTTTGATGCTTTTTTCCTCCCTGTATTTTAACTTTTCTGCACGGTCATTAAGTAATGCTCAGAGGACTGATTCTATGACTTTTAAAAAACAAACTAATCACGGTTTTCTTACATAATTTCTTATATCTTATTTGTAGAAGAACTGCAGTTTCCGAGAACAGATTTTATCTTTCTACATGGAAGATGTTTTTGCTCAACTCCAATTCCGAGTTTGTAAGGAAACACACTTTGTAGAAGACTTTCATAGCCTTAGGCAAAAACTGAGCCACTGTGTAAGTATGCCCAGCAAGCGTGGTAAATTCAATCCTAGAGATGCGTCTAGAAAATAGCATGTAGAAAGCCATCTCCATACCAACGGGTGAGTACAAAGGGCTTTGTAATTGTTGGTTTTAGTATAAATGAAGAGTCTATCACAGGGAACTACATCAAAGAATCATTCATAATCATTCATAACTTGTTGTGCCACTATTTATTGTTTCTTAAAGAATAGCATGTGCAACATATTGTAGAGACCTAACCTGAGTTGGTTGTTGAATAAATATTTATTATTTTAAAAATCATCTCATTATGTGATTCTTGAGAATTCATTCATTTAACAACTATTTCTTGGGTTCCAACTCTTTGCTAAGCAGCTTTCTTTCTTTTCTCTTTTTTTTTCTTTTCCATAATAATAGAACTTTTATTTTTTTTTTTTAATTTTTAATTTATATATAGAAGTTTTCTAGTCATGAAAAAAACTTAAGAGCAGGGACATGTCTTCCTTGATACCGAAATTAGTAGGTGTCTCGGTATGGTCTTGTTATAGTAAGTGGTAGGAATGTAAGCAGGCAAAGGTGACCACATTTCTACAAAACATCCACTACATAATAAATTACTAGTGCAGCTATAGAAGAAAAAGCCTGGATTTATATACAAATGTTAGTTGATTTGCTTCTGTGGTGAGTGCTGGACCTATGACTTTGTTGGGCTCCAAGAACACTGCTTCCAGCCTTCTGCAATTGTGCCTTGCAGATGGAGCGAAAGTGGGGTAGTGACCATTACTGCAGTCCCTGGGCTGCCAGATAGAAGTGAGCTTCCCACCCTTGGGCTCTCTGGTCACTGAGTCTTAAAGCTTGCTCTTGGAGGTGGGTTTTTATTTTTTAATAGGCAGTGTGTCTTTTTCTTGAGGTCTACTTAAAATGCACACAATCCAATTTTCAGGCCTAATGCTGAGGCATTTTATGAGTATAACTTGTCAAGTACAAAAATTTACATTCTCTTTTTCCTTAATTTGTATTTAAAGTATGTTGTTTTGCGGATTTGTATTGTATGACTTTTATAAGCTTTTTAAAAAAATTCTATTAAAATAGCAATAATAAAAACCACAAACTGGTACTTTGCTGACCTCAAAGAAAGTGTTCTGGGTCAGTCCCCATGCCTGAAATAATGGAAAGATCGTTATCACTTATCTTTGGTTTATTTTGTACTCAACTTGTGAGGTCATCTTATTGGGACAGTGAATGGTATGGTCTCACAAATTTAAGTTAAATAGTGATAATTTTACATTTCATTCACCACCAGCTGATTGCACCATCACTCCCAGTAGGAGAGGTTTTTTCTTTCTTTCTTTTTTTTCCCATAGAATAATTTGAAGAGGGGGAGGGTAACCCATGGAGAACTTGGTGGTGGGGAAATAATGAGGCCTGTGGCGGTCACTGTAGGCGAGCATGGGACACTTGTAAAAGCCAGAGCGCCTTTCCCGTCTCAGTACATGGTATACAGAGAGCGCTGTAAATTCTTTTTTAAATGAGATTAAAATATCACCTTCTTCTCTTTTGCTGGAGTCTTTGGTCCCTCTGTTTAGAAGCTGTCCTTTACATTAGTCACCTGATTTAATTTTATGTTATTCTACATTGTTTGCTAATGATGGTGAGGCACTACAAAAAAAAAATTGCCTGATACAATACAGTGTATGTAGACACCTGAAACCCTCAAATCCATGTTTGTTTTTATTTTTGAGTGGGTTTCATTGGCTCAAATAGCTAGAGCACACATAATGATTATGATAACCAAAAGCAAGCAATATTCTAGATGAAAAGCTTAGAAACCCGAGGTCCGTCTAGAAACTCTGGTTTTCCTTGATTTATTTATGGACAGGATTGTCCCTCAAGAGACTTCCATCTATCAATAGAGATGCTTCTTTCAGGGACTTGAGCGGCGATGGCAGGGTGAAGAGGAGCGGAGTGGCACCTGGCTTAGTTGTCGCCTCTTATCAAAGTGGCTGACTCCCCCTGGTGGCCAAATTCAAACATATCGTCCAGTCAAACTTCCCACCAGGGCCTCCTAATTTGGTGCTTTCTTTTTAAAATTCTCTCACCTCCAGTCCTAAATGATTGTTGACTCTAGTTAATTTATCTCATGAACTATGGCATTTTTGTTCTGGGATAGCCAACCACCCCTATGAGATAGAAAGTTTTAGGATTAGCCTGAGATTTAAGTAGTCTCCACAGACACTGCCTTTAGGGAAATAGGTACTGTACCGGCCTTGTGTTTAATCTTGCTGCAAATCGTAATTTTATATTTTTGGCGATAGGAGCTACTATCTATTTAAGATTAAATTTACTGAGCATCCATTCTATAAGAATTCTAAATTAGTAGTCAAGGCAGAGTTTAGCAGGGGAAACTTATAAAATGTGAAGTAAGCAGCATTAATTTAATCATGATATTTTTATAATAAAAAATGAATACTACATATTGTCACTCTATACACAGTCAATATATGCAAAGTAATTCCACTTCCTGTATTTCCCCTGCTGTCCTGCATATGGGGATTGTTGTAGCAAAATGAGTAAAATGTATCCCTTTGTCCTCTAGGAGTTTTGAACTGTGTGTGTGCATGAGTGCACACGTGTGTGTTCATATGTGTACATGTGCGTTGTTGTGAGGGTTCTGGGGAAAGGAAAGGGTAGCAAGGGAACTTCACAATTTTCCCAAGGGGAAGAAAGTAGAAGTGCTTTTATAGCAGTACTAGCAAAGTTTAGGGATTCAGAGCAGAAATCAGGATGGATCAGGAAGATTTTGAGAAGGAGGGACTTGCAGAGAGAGTAGCCTTGGATTCTGCAGGTTCTATTTCTGCAGAATCTTGACATAGTTCAAAACCAGTACAAGATTTATTCCATTTTTAGGAAGCAGGAGGAAATGGTCAACCATTGTTTCTAGGACTCTGGAGTCATGCCTAAGCTAGTGTGATGTTGTAGGCTAAACAGGAGTTTGAAGGGTTCAAATGATTAATGCTGCATTTACATCATTGCTCCAGAGTCTTCTCTCAGATGCATGGCGTTCACATATTCCTTTCCCCATTTATAGATTGTCTCTTCGTTCTGTAGTTGTTTCTTTGTCATGCAGAAACTTTTTATTTTGACACAATCTCATTTGTTCATTTTTATTTTTGTTGCCTATGTTTTTGGGGTCAAATCTAAAAAATCATTGCCCAGATTAATGTTGCATTGTTTTACCTCAACTTTTTCTTTTAGTAGTTTTACAGTTTCAAGTTCTTATGTTTAAGTCTTGAATCTATTTTGAGTTTATATAGATAGTGTGTGATAAGGATTCTACTTCATTCTTTTGCATGTGGATATCCAGTTTTATCCAATATAACTTATTGAAGAGACTCTTCTCCCAATGTGTATACTTGGTACCGATGTTAAACATTAATTGATCATACATGCATAGATTAATTATAGAACTCTTTATTTTGTTCCATTGGGTGATGAGTCTATTTTTACAACAGTACCATGCTGTTATATTTGTTTAATTCAGTATAGTTTGAAATCCAGAAATGGTGTTACTCTTATTATTTGATAAAGACAATGAAATAAGTAATTACCACATTTGGAGAGTTTCTAGATTTATACTTTATGAGTAGCCAGCAAGTTACTGGGACCAAGTATTTTTCTTCTTTTACTCAAACGCTTTTCTTTTTTCCTACTATTTCCCTTCTTTCATCAAACATAGTTTAAAATATATGTGCCTGCTCTAAGCCATCTTACCAAATGGAAAACTCACCAAAATACCATCTTGTTGAATTTATTTTCTATAACTTGTTTAGTTTTTGTTCACTAGCTTTTATTCTGTCTTCACAAGAAATAAGTCCTTCATTTTGAGGGCTGGTCTATTTGTCTCTGTTCCAGGTTCCTGCTGTTGGAATTAGAGACCAATTAGCAGAGAGCAGGGAGCTCAAAGGACATTAAAGTCATCAGAACTCAATGTTTTTGAGCATGCAGAATTTTTTTTTTTTGAGAGGTTTTTGCTACAGGGCATGTGCACTCATGGAGAGACAGAACGTGAGAAATTACCCCCCATTTCTCCTCCATCTCCTCCATTTCCTCTTGGGATTTTGAGCAGGCACACACATGTGCTTGGTGTGAGTTTCAAGCCTCTGGGTCTAGGACTCAAACCGTGGCTTGAGGTCAGTGCCTTAGTCACTAAGCCACCCGCGGGCCCCAAGAATGTAGAATTCTCTTTTTTTAAGAGGTTTTTGCCTTATAGTATGTGTGCTCGTTGGGGAGAGAGACACAAAGAGAAGGACATAGAAAGAGACAGTGAGAGAAAAAGTGAGAAATCACCCCACAGAGGGGATGGCCATGCTGCAGTCCCTTCTCCTCCCTAGATCTTGGGCACACAGGCAGATGTGCCTGGCAAGAGTTTCAAGCCACCTGGTCTGGGACTTGAACTAGTGGGAGTCCAGTATTGAAACCGTTAGGCCATCTGCTGGTCCCATGCAGAATTCTTATCTCTTCATATAACAATAATATATTCTTATATGGCAAGAATATATATATTAGAATTCTTGATAGTCAAGAGTACCTTTAAGTACCAAATTTGATATTAATGTGATGCTAACTACTGTAACAAATAACTCCCCCAAATTTAGTGGCTTTGAATTTTAAAACTTTATTTTTTAAGGTCAGCAGATAACATAATGGTTCTGTCACTGGACTTCCACATGACAACCACAGTTTGAGTCCCGGACCCAATGGCTTGAAACTCATACAGGGCACGTGTGCATACGTGCCCAAGATCCTGAGAGGAAAGTGGAGAATGGATTGTGGCATGGCTATCTCCTGCTGGGGGTGATTTCTTACTTTCCCTCTCACTGTCTCTGTCTCTCTCTCTCTATCTCTGGTAAGCACACATGCCCTAAGGCAAAGACTTTTTAAAAAAAACTTTATTTTTTACTCATATAAAAATTTATCTTGAATTTTCCAGATGGAGTTGCTTTCCTTCACATTAT